TACAATCAGTAATATCTCTAAGCATTTTATCTACAACTTCTATAGCACAACGATTTACCATAAGCGCCCCATCCCAAATTATTAGCCTTAACATTTTCAATAAAGTTCCCAAGGCCGATTGTTTGCTAACAGAGCAGTTAACTTCTCCTTTAGTTTCTAAAGGGATTTTAAATCTTGAATGAGCAGTTCGACCTCTAGGTAATAGAGATGCAACCACTCTAGAAGACACAATTGCCAAAGTAATTAAATATCGACATCTCACACCAGCTAGTAGTGCTCTATACAAAAAAGTCTTAGCTATCCCGCCTGGATCATCAATGAAAAAAGTGTCACTTAATTCAGCTTCTACTCTTTCCATAATTATATCATAAGCAAACTGTTGTTCTTTATTTAATGTCGCTGCACAACTAAAACCTCTTTCAATATCCAAATTTGTTTATTCCTCTGCAACCATTTTCAACAATCTTTCATCGTCATCTATATTTATGTTAAACGATATGATTCCATAATCATTTATATTTTTACCAAGTGATTCTAAAATAGAACTTACATCCTCCAAAGCTCGTTGTTCAACAACTTCAATAGGCATATTTTGTTGTATGTGATCATCAGCCATGTAAGGCTTAAATTTATCCCATAATAACTTTAGATTATTGGGGTTGCACATAGTAAGAAGCGTAGCAAACAGACGTCTTAAAGAATAAGGCATTTCGTAAATAATGGCTTCAGATAAACATTCTTCACAACTATTGTCTCCATTTAATAAACCATGTAGAGGTGCAGCTTCTTGAAATGTACCGACATTTACCCCATTGAAAGTTTTTATGTCATCAAACGATATTGGGCCTCTAATATGATTTAGAAGAAGGCGAAGAAAATATCGTTCTCCTTCAGATGGATTCATTGAGACAATTCGTCCTATAACAATATGTTTCTTTCTAGGAGTCCAAATTTTGTTAATTGCATTCCAAACAAAATGTTTAGGAAAATTTCGATACAAAAGTGTTCGAGCAAATTCATTTACTTATTCACTTGGAAAAACTCGGTTAACATTGTTCTTCTCATATTTTCATTTGTAAAAATAGCAAATAAATCATCCATATTTTTGTAAGTTAAACGTTGACGGTCTTCAATATGAACTTGTAGAGCACAAACAATTGAATGGCTTTCTGACAAATTGAAAGAAAAAATCCTCCACATAGTTTCAAATGGAGATATCCATCTAACAGATTGGTAAGTAGAGATTTCATCCATGTCTTTGTCTGTCTCATTTTTTCCACGAAAAAATTAATACGATCATGTCCTTTGTATACATATTTGTACAAATATTTTACAATTTTAATAAAAGAGCATACTTCAACATTGATATGACAGTCAAACTTTGCACTTAAATAAGGATTATATGGTACAACTCATTCATTGTCTAACATTTAACCTCTCACTTTAACATAAATACCATTATTACGCCGCCTATACAATGGATATGAATTATCTCCAAGTATAATATCATTACAATAATCATTTAGATATTTATTTTTACAACCGCTATTTGTCACCATACATACTTTTTTCGGATTCAAATTTTCACAATGACCATGCATATTATGCTTTACAATAATAGAATGGAAATGAGGGTGTATATTTTTATCAGGAATTTCACAAGAGACTATCCTATCAACATGTTCAGTGAAAGAAATTTTATGACCACAGTTAAAAATCAACAATAGATGTGTGTGAGGGAGACCTTTTTTTTGAAATTCAATCACATATATATGAGCAATAACAAGACAAAAAATATCATTTTTATACAAATCATTTTTAAGTTCTTCTAATTTTGCTCTAAATATACGTACAATTAAATCTGATCAATTTTGAACATCATCATTGTGTTTTAATTCTTACTTAATTTCTGGCCAATTTGGATTACATGTTATAGTTAGGAATAAATCTAGTTTTCCATAACGTTGAACAAGAGTTATAGCATCTAGGTACCTTCTTAACATATCTCTAGGTTTCTCCTTTATGTACAATATCTACAATACCTTGATAAAGTTCAGCACGAATTTATTTTTGATTATTACAAAAAAAAATCTGACCTAGATGTCTCTATCTTAACGTACATATCTACAACATATTGTTGGAAAAGTCTATCAGTATGAAGCAATACAGACTTACCAGAAGGTCTAATTTATAACTTGTACGAATAGTACTCACGACATGATACTTGTGACCGTTTCTTCGTTTCCTTAAGCACTGCATGAGGAAAAATGAAGCAAATTTTATATTTACTTCAAACATCACATCTATGGAGATATAAGAAAGACAAAAGTACATGAACAAACCTTTAGCCTCTTTTTCAATAATTTGAGCCGCATAATTTATTATATTAGGATTAGCAATATGGTCGACCAACTGCGTAAGCTGAGAAGATGTGTTTTCGTATCTGTGAATACCTTCATGCCAACCACATTCACCAAACGGGAAAAGAAAAGGGTATTGCAAATGATTATAACAACCATAATAATAATGAACCCTATGATCAGAGCAACAAAAACCTTTAGTTTCTCAATACAATTTGCGTGCGCCACAATGTTCACAATAAGTACACGTCGATAATACATATGCAGTAGTTGGTATACTAAACAGATTAGAACTTTCATGTAATTCAAAATTAACAACATTAATCGTCTCCTCATTCTAAGTAGAAGCTTCAGAATGAGAATTTATTATATATTCATGCCCATAATCAACATGAAAACTATTATTTTTAGATAACATTGGATCATTTATCCTCTTACGACAATCAATACTTATAGATTGAATTTGATTCCTCCTATCCGCCAGCCTTTGATTTTGTTGTTCGCAAATGAAAGCGTTATACGATTTATTTGTGCTTTGAGATAGAGTTTCAAGATCAAAACAATCAGGCTTGTCATTTGTAGATTTTTGCAGAGAATCCTCAGAAGAATAAATTTACGGCTTATTTTGAATAATACAAAAATTATTAATTTAATTAAAAAACTAACAAATAATAATTACATTAGCACACTGTAAAATAAGTGTGGTAAATAAGAAAAAGTTTTGCGACAAAGCAAACATCCAACAACAACATAAACTCCATAGCCATACCCAACAAAAATTAGACAACTCCAATTAGATTTTCACGTATATATAGAGATAAGAATATACCTCACATCTAGGTCGAGTAAGATGAGCCAAGCTACATTTTCATCTATATATAGAAATAAAACCTACATACGTTAAATAAAAAAAAATTGCAAGAACTTACCCAAAGTTAATCGTCGCAATTTCTTCCCTACGGTTAAGATAAGGATTGTACGAATTTTTTTCCCAGGGAAAGAAACAAAAATTTAGAGAGTTTTTTCGCAGATGAAAGCTGAATTTTGGAATTGAAGGAGAGAGAATCAATGAATTCAAAGAGTGATAAACAATAGATTATTTATATTTTCTTAATAATATAATATGATAAAAAATATCAAATCACTTTGACCAAACCCATTTCAAACCAGTTGAATGTAAAAACGCATGTAATAAAAACAAATAATCTAGCTCTGCACAAAAAAGAGCACTTCAAGTTATTTTTGACAATAAATTGAAAACCGCGGAGTTGAGAAGGGCAAAAAATAAAAGCCAATTAAGTCCGCCTTAAAAAGTAATAACTCTCTTATAATTGTAAAAAGCTACTCTATAAATAAATAATAAAAAAAAGTATTAAATTCAAAATTTTTAAGTATAAATATTTACATATAGTTTTTGAAATTTTAAATATTAATAAAAAGAATACACCGTCTAGAACGTAACAAGTTACTTATAAGGAAAAAAAAAAATAAAAATTCATTTTAAGTTATCCAAAATATAAAATAATTGTAAAACGTACTTATATAGATAAAAAAAAATTAACTTCAACATTTTTAAGTAAATATTTAGATATATTTAATATTTTTAAAATTTTATTAAAAAATATTAATATGAATTTTTATTTTTTTTATTTTTTTTAATTTTATTTTTTTATTTTTGCAAAACGCCTCCGTGCATGGAGTGTTATCACCTCGTGCAAGGAGATTTTTTTAAAAATGTTATTCATAATAATATTTAATTGTAAAATATTAAATATATCTAAATTTACTTAAAAGTGTTGAAGTTAATGTTTTTTTTTTTTATAAATAGCTTTTACAATTATAGGTTTTTTTATTAATTTTAAATAATTGGAAATGAATTTTTTACTTATAAGTAACTTTTTAAATTCTCTATTGTCTAATCTTTTATCAATATTTAAGGAAGGATAAGCAACTTTTAAGATAAGAAGGGATACGTAGAAATAAAAAATAAAAAAGTATTAACTTAGAATTTTGTAAGTACAAATATGTACATATATTTAGTTTTTTTTTAATTTTAAATATTAATAAAAAGAATACGCCATCTAGAATGTAACATATTACTTATAAGTACAAAAATCACTTCAAGTTATCTAAAATAATAAATAATTGTAAAAGGTACTTATATAGATAAAAAAAAAAATTAACTTCAACATTTTAAAGTAAATATTTAGATATATTTAATCTTTTTAAAATTAAATATTCAAAATATATTAACAAGAAATAATTTTTTTTTCAAAACGCTTCCGCACGGAGCGTTATCACTCCGTGCAGGGAATGTTTCACTCCCATGCATGGGAGTGATTTTCGTGCATGGAGATTGTTTTTTTTTTATTCATAATAATATTTAATTGTAAAAATATTAAATATATCTAAATTTACTTAAAAGTGATGAAGTTGATATTTTTTTTTTCTATGAATAGCTTTTACAATTATAAGTTTTTTTATTATTTTTAAATAATTGGAAATTATTTTACAATTATATGTTTTTTTAAATAATTTTCGTTTATTATAATTTAATAGCTACATAATAAAAAAAATTATTTTTCTCTTCAACTTCTTTTATTATACAATATAATAGTACTGTCTCTAATCAATTGAAAGCGAAATAGTGTTATTCATAATAACATTTAATTGTAAAAATATTAAATATATCTAAATTTACTTAAAAGTGTTGAAGTTGATATTTTTCTATGAATAGCTTTTACAATTATAGGTTTTTTATTATTTTTAAATAATTGGAAATGATTTTACAATTATAGGTTTGTTATAATAATTTTCGTTTATTATAATTTAATAGCTACATAATAAATTATTTCTATTTTTCTCTCCAACTTCTTTTATTATACAATATAATAGTACTGCCTCTAATCAACTGAAAGTGAAGTAGTGTATGACAATGGATAAATCATTAAAACGATGTGTCAAAATCTTGAGATGGCGTGTGAAAATAGCACTACAGTGTGATTGAATAGAATAATTTACTGTTGCCAACCAACTTCGTGTGAAACCTATGTGAAAAAAATGAACAGTAAATCTCACATTCTCTCTTTTAAGATAAGGAGGGAATAATTTATTGTTTCTATTTTAATTTCAATTTAATACAAAATTAAATTAATAATATTATAGTGTAACATACATATTATAACTTGTGGTAGAAATGCGGTGATTGTTGTAACTTGAAATAAGTTTCAACATTTCAAAATTAAAACATATTAATTTTTTGTTTTAACATAAAATTAAAAGACCATAATTCATATGATAACTTATATATTTTCTCATTATTGTGGGGGTTAAAATTTTACACTATATAAGGAAGTATTATCTATAATTTGAGAGAATCACTTGAAACATTATCATTTCTATAATTTTATATTATACTTTTGACATTTCGATAAAGGCTCGTTCACTTATCTCCTTATAGTTATACTCAAGAAGTGAAGTCACATGAGTTTTATTTTGGAGCCGTGTAGTGTTGAAAGAATCTCAAACGAAGGGAAGGCAACACGACTTTAGGACTGCGTCTTCAATGCAACTCACAAAGCTTGCTTTTCTAACTCTCTATTTATTTTATATTATTGTTGAATTACGTTTATATCATTTAATTGATTATTCTAATTTTTAAGAGCCCGTTTGGGAATAATTTTGAGAATTAATTTTTAACTATTAGGAGAAAAGTGGGGTCCACCTGTAAGAGAAAAAGTCAAATATGACGGTTGAAATAGTGAAATAACGGTAAAAAAATCAATTTTTTGGGAGAGAAATCGCTCCCAAACAGACCCTAAATAAGTATACATACAAATCACCCAATTTTCCCAACAAATTTCAACTTGGTAATTAGTATACAGGACTCGTCATCTTCACTTCACTTGCTCTAGTTAAACTCTAGCAAGTGAAAGGAAAAAATAAAATAAAATCGGGGCAAGCCACCTCCCCCCCTGCCACCCCGTCTAAGGCGGGTCGGATCAGGGGAATGGCGGGCTGGCTCTAATAAAAATGAATAATGCTAGTGGTACACCATGGTATCCAACATGGTGTACAAAACGGACACACGGCACCTCGGTATTGGTCGAGGTGTCGGTGCCCACAAGCATAACCCAATAAAAATACCCCCTTATATTAATTTTTTGTCCAAAATACTTATTTTCTTTTCCATTAAAAATAAGTATTTTACATCTATCATTCTTTTATATTCTATTTTAATATATCTCATTATTTAAAAGTTAACGTTATTTATCTATTACGGATTAGAGTAACAAGTGTTAATGTACTACTTATATTGGATCGTTAAAATAAAATCAGTTTTTTAGAAGGAAAAAAATTAGTGTAGCATATATGTTAGAAAAACAATGTTTCACATGAGTAACATGCTATGTTATCATATTATTATTTTTTTATTAAAAAATTTACCGTTGTCACTAGGTAATACGTGTGTTATTTGTAGGCAGCACACGTGTTATTACCACCAAAACTTGACAAGTCTTAACAAAAAGAAAAATAATCCAAACAATGTCAATCAGCACCTTCCACCATCACTGCTTCATGACAATTGACATCAAGCTCCCAATAATACAACCATCTTCCAAGCAACGGAGATGACTTCATCGGTTGTGATAGCGATGATAATGGTGGCTGCTAAGGGGGGTGGTGAATGGTGATGGGGCTGATATTAGTAAAAAGCAGTTTAGGGGTTGGTGGTGGGAAAAATAGGGCGTATAAAAATTGGAATTTATTATTAATTGGGTGAATTTTGTTAAAGGCTTGATAAAAATGGATAATTATGATTGAAAAATGATGAGGGTATATTCGAATTTTTAACAAAAGTAGGTGTTTTGCATAATTAAACCAAAATTTAATGGGTTTTTTCATCTTGAAGAAACGGTCACAAATAGCACTGATCGAAGATTCAAAACATTTAGCAATGATTTTTCCTTTGTTTTCTTTAACTTTTTCTTTTTATGCTGCACATTTCAGCACATATCCCACATTTAATTGGGTATATTACATAATGTGCATATGTTACTACTTAGTCTGGTGTTACATAACATTAATTTTTGTAAAACCAAGTCCATGTTGTAGTGAATAATTTGAATAATACTATGTTCCATTTGCTCGAATTTCGGTCAACCAATTTTGTAGAAAGCTTTTTCAAAGGAAAAAAAACTACAGAAAAACGAGGGAGTTGGGGCTGATTCCATCTTAGTTTAGAGTCCACAAAACATGTGTGGATATCATTTGCTATATATGCTCTCTTATCTTCTTTCCATCATATGGTCTTAAATTGACTTGACAGAATCATCAATCTATTCGCTTCAATTTTCATCTAAATTTTTTAATGGCACTTTCTCTTTATATGCTGTAGATAAAGCATTGAACAGAAATGGCAACTGCAGCATATCACGGATCGTTGCTACCTTCAGTTGCTCGTCTACGTCAAAATCTATCATTTTACAGTTCATCGAGTAGTTCAGTGGCAATCGAAAAGAAGGGATCGTCCAAAGGAAGAGGCAGGCGCCTGGCAGTGGTGAGATGTAACATAGGAATAGAGGACTTCATTGGAGGAGATCTTGTAAAGTTTGATTTGGGACAGTGGTTGTTAGACGTCGAAGAGCACAAAGCTTTGGCTATCTACTCACCACACGAAGGTGGGTACGAGGGCCGGTACCTTAACCAGCTTCGGTACCAAGGCTACCACTTCTTGGACCTCTCAGCCCGTGGCCTTGGTGATCCTGAAGCCACTCTCACCAAGTTTCACCCTGTTTGTCCTGTAAGCAATTGAAACGTGTAACCGAAGTATGATATTCTTATGAGTAATGTTATTCATAGTCAACGACTGCAATAGTCGATATATGTGACATCTTGATATTGGAGGCATTAACTTTTTATTTAAGGAATCAAAATTGCAGAAATTAACGTCTCAAATAACAAAGTTGATATATAGGATGTCACGTAAGGTGACTACTGTATTCGCTGATTACAAATAGCATTATTTTATTCTAATAGTATGTAGAATTAATACACCATTAGTATATTTCAGGCTCACGTAGGGAAACAGCCGATAGCCAGATGGTATTTCCCACCAGAAGTTGATTACAGGCTCTCTCTGCTTCCACCAAACGCCAAAGGACTAGCGGTTTGGATCATTGAAGCGAAGGTAACGATAACTTTGATTAATTTTGTACCTCTTCACTTGGTTAAAAATGCACGATTTGTCCAATGTTGTTAAGTTTTGTAAATTCGACATTTGCCAGGTTTTGTCGAAGGCAGAATTGCAGTTTCTTGCATTACTTCCCTCACTAAGGCCTAGAGTGAGGGTGATAGCAGAATGTGGAAACTGGTATAATATCTATTCTTTTTTTGTTTTTATACATTGAGACTTAACATTTACCTTCTAATCATTTTAAGAATCACTTAATCAAATTCATATATTTGCAGGAGAAAATTTATGTGGAAACCACTCAAAGAAATTGCAGGACTGCCAGCAAATTGATGATCTTCTATTCGAAATGATTAAATGACAGCCAAGAATGCAACAGATGGAAAAATACCTTCAGCCCCTCGCTTGTCCAGGTACCACAGAGCAGTTTTTCGCATCACGATTTGTATAACTTGTAAATTATATTATTGAGAGAATATATGGTAAAAAATGAAAAGAAAAAAAAAATTGTACCAAATTTAGATTTAATTTTTTTTTTCACTCGATGAATTTAGTTGGTGAGTCCAAAGAAAAAGCAATGTTGGTGTTTGAAAAATGGGAAATTTTCCCCTACAGAAGAATTTCAGATACTCACATGGGGAGATGTGAGTAAAATAATTCAAAAAATAACCCACCCACCCCATGTTGTGTGTACTCTGTAAGGTATCTGTAAAAAATTGTTCTATACATGTTGTAGAACTCTTGAAAAATAACAGAGCTATTGAAAATATGAAAACTTCGATTTTGAATTTAAGTGGGGATAGGTTGAATTTTTAATTGATTTACGTTTTTTTTTTAATTTAAAGGACCACAATGTGAAATATATATTAATATAAATTAAAGAGGAGCTTATGAATCTTACTATTGTCGGTTTCATTTCGAGTGAATGTCGATAACAAGTAATATAATAATGAATAGAGGATTGAACACTAAAGGAGCAATATCTATCTATTTTATGAATATTTACAATCAGAGGACAAATCAAAAAACACGTTAATTGATGAATATTTACAATTTTATAAAATAAAATTAAAAAAACAATTGATTTGTAAATCATAAATGAATGAAAAATAATTAAATTGACAATAAAATCATTGATTTTTAAGAAATGTAAAAAATAATTTTAAAAAATACAAATTTATAGTTTAATTGTAATGGCTACCAATAGAAAAGTTTTCTCTCGATTGGAATCCGTTTCGAACTTCAATGTCATCCGATTACTAGTTGGTATTTAGATTGCAGAAGCTGTGTCCCCATCCCAGAGCTCCACTGGGAACCGATAGAGTATGCATCCCACAGTTCAATGACATATCGTCGAAAGAATTAGGCTGGCGGTGGACAAATTGTCAATAAAATCACTTACAAAATCGGACAAAAAAATAGTGCTATCAAGCACCATTATAATATCAATACAGGTGATGTTATGTGGTAGTTGTATTTTTCATTTAATTCCATTTAAATTGATGTTATAACACTTGCATTGCTAAATTGCATTACTCCAAACCATATTCATATATATCATGAAACAGGAGTGTTTCGCGCGGGTTAGTCGCTAACAATTAAAAAGGGATAAGACGATTGTGTAAGGGACAAACCTTTTAAGACAAAGTCCCAAAAATGGGCTTTTTTATTGGCGATGATTTTACAATTGGGAAGCAAAAACAGAATGCCTCCAAGGGGTGCAAGCACACGAGTTACTGTAAAAGAAGTGTTTAAATCTAAACTAAGAAATTGAAAGTTACATATTCTCTGTTTGAGAGTGTTTGATTCAGAGTTTTTGCTCTATGTCTTTTCTTCCTTTTATACTCCCTGGGTGATTTCTTCGTGATCAACTGCTTGATCGCTCTATAACTGCTCATTTTACTTGTAGTGGCCAACTTGTCATGGAACTGCATTCTTTAACTGCCGTCACTACTTTTGTCGTTCAACCATCTTCAATTGAATTCCTTGAATCGTGGATCGTGATAGGACTACCTAATAACTGCTTCATTAACTGCACTTTTGGGTAACCATAACTTCTTATGTTTGCTAAGATGTTGGGCGACTTGAATATTTGGACGAGAGCAGAGTCACAGCTCTGGACGACTGCATGGCAATTCATTCGCTTAAATCTTGGGCGACTTGCAACCTTGGACGATGGTATTTCCGTATTCATGGTCTTCCTTATTTGGGTCTTTATCCTGCATTGCCTGACTGGATCGTTCTTTGGGCTATTTGATTTTAGGAATCTTCCAATTGGGCTTCATTCCTTGGGCTATTCAAGTTGGGCTGAACTTTTTGTGTGTCAACAATTACCCCCCAATATGGCTGAATTAATATCAATTATTGATTTTTGCCATATTCACTTTGTGTTTCCCAGCAACATTCGAAATTTCCAAGAATTTCAATCATTGTTTTCTTCCATAGCCTGAAAAGGTGCGACGTTTGCAAACCCTTATAACCCCCAAATACGCTATTTCATTGCACCACTAAATCACGCCTCATTTTTTCGCGCCTTTCTCTTGCACTATTACTGTTCATCTCCTTACTTCTCTGTTACGTAACTCTGCAGAACTCTATTTCGTCCCTAATGGCTGCTTCACAATCTTAGTCTGGTGACTCCTTTAGTTTCAAAGACTTTTAGAAACTCCTTACTCGGCCATATGTAACTCCGAACTTTCTTGCACCGGCCAATGTCAAACTCAATGAGTTCTATCTAGGTCCTTCATTCAACAATGCCGAGGCCATCGAGCAAGCGAATATCGGTCAGCTGTTTCCTTGTACTCATGGCCCTCCGTTTCTAAAATCTTTGCCGCTAGGGCCACTCCGCGAAAGAGGTATTCACACTTGACCTAAATCTGATGTTGTTTTTCGTAGATGGCATACTCGCCTTGTGGACCATGGTCTTACTAAGGTAATTTTTGATAATGCTAGGATTTCTGATTTGTTAGAAATCTCTCTTCAACCACCTATTTTTGACCCAGTACTTTTTCCAATCGCTTTAAGTTTTTGGTCTTCTGAGTATAATACCTTTATTTTTCCTCTTGGTCCCATGTCCATTACCTTAAGGGATATTAGGGCCCTAGTAAATCTGCCACCTTTGGGCGATACCATTTTCCCTGGTATCCTGATTTCTGGTGCCGCTCCAAAATTTGGTAAAGGCCTTACCGAGTCTTATTCAAGTCTGCAAACCCTTCATAACCACTCGAGCGCTGAGCCTTCCCATACTGAGCGAGTGGCCTTTCTTTTAATTTAGCTTTGTAAATACATTTTGTGTGTGCTAAGCATAAAGCCCTCCCTGAGCTATTTACCCATAGCGCACGAATTAGCGCGTGGTAGGCCTCTGAATTTATGTTCTTTCTTTTTAGCTCCCCTCTATAGAGGCATGACTTCTCTTCAATCCCAATTGAAGAATGGTGCATCTCCCACTGGTAGTGGACCTCTTTGGTTCGCTCAAATGTGGTTGAGAGTTTATTTTCCATCGCTTGGTGCTCCATCTTTTTTCAGCCCTTCTGCTAGCTGTTACGGGCTAGCCATTGAGCCCCTGGCTCCTATAAATGTGTCCAGAATGGACATTTTTTCATTCTTTTATACTTTGGATTCAATCCTTTCCTTCTTTCCTTTTCCTCCCTTTTTGACTCCAGATTATGTGCAACCCCCATCCACTCTGGATAATGCGAACACTTCCTTGTTTATTTGGATTCAGTTTTTGACCGGGAGGGAGTTGTTCCATGATATTTTGACTAGGACTAATGCCAAGGCTGGGGTAGAGATATATACTCCTTAATTTTTTGCTCGCCAACTTGGTTTTGGCCAAACTTGGCCCGTTCCTCCTTGCTATTTAAGGAATTTGATAGACCGCTTCCACACTATTAATAAAACAGAAGCGGAGGCTATAAATGCTCGCAACCTTCTTTTGACAAGTAACTTCTCACTAGCCCCCTTCAATCCTAGCCGTGTCATCCATCCTCTTTTTGAACGACTCTAGCCGTCAGTGAAACGTAGATTGTTCGCGACTGATGCCAATCATGTTTTCCATTCACTAGACCAGCCAAACATTTCTTCCACCCCTCCTGTTTTGGTCACTCCTGTGTCCATTAGAAGTCCCTCTTCTTCTGCTCATGCTAAACAATCTGCCCGTCCATCGACTTCTCTTCCTGCCAAGCCCACTACAGCTAAAAGTGCCCCAAGCTGCAAACGGACAGTTTCAGCGTCTTCCATTTTGGAAGATGATGCTGATGATGATGATGATACCCCTCTCATCGTCAGGAGGAAGGTAATTAAACGCGGTTTACTCATAAGCATAACTTTCTATACTTGAGGTTTTTCCATGTGCTGATAATTTATTTGGACCTCTCAGAAAAGTTCAATCTCTCCTTAGAAGGCTTTGGTATTGGCAGCTCCTGCTCCATCATCCTCTGCTGAGGCTGATTCGTCCAAACCTGCTGATGAAGGGGCTATGCTTAAAGAGAAACCTTCAGTCCCAGAATTTTCATCACAACCAATGGACGAGCCACTTTCTTCCCAGGGCGTTGACCCCCAAACGTCGAAGCAGAAGGTAATTCGTTTTTTGATGCTTTACCTTTGCTTGTGCTATTGGTGTTGACTTGTTGTCTTTTGAGTTCTGCAGATGTTCTCATGAGTTTGCCCGTTGCGGCAAGGTCTTCTCGCTTAGACAAGGGGAAGTCCTCACAAATGGTGGAGCTAGAGGTGGCAGATTTGGCTGGAGATATGCTACCTTCCAAGATTGCTGATGAGGTAATCTTTGCTTTACCTTTACCTTCACTTTGTTTAGTGTAGTGAAAGCCTTCAATATTGGCGATTTTCTTTGTAGGATGCTGATAAAATTGTGCGTTCCATTCAAGACTTGTTGGCTTCCTGGGGACAAGTCAAAACATCTCGCCCTACTTCAGCCAATTGTCCTTCTGCTTCTTCAAAGGATGATATGAAGTTCCTCAAGCAGTCGATATTTGAGTATGTGTCCTTCATGGATATGGACATCGGTAAGGCTAGTACTGCTAGGCATAAGGATAAGCTTAGCATTTGAATGCAAAAATGGAGCAAGCGCTGATACTTCCGTCGCTCAATCTTTCTGTTGATTTTAAAGCGACGTTGAAAGTTATCTATTCCGTAGTCTTCTCCTTGCTGGCCAAGAATGTTGAACTGAAGGCCAAAAATACTCAATATCTTCACACCGTATCTGAAAAAGAGTCTTTGCTTCTGGAGATCAACAAAGCTGAGGATGAGTTGAAAGAAATCTCTTCTGAAATCATGATTGAAGACTCTTTGATGACTAGTTTGGCTGCTCAGATGAAGGAGCTTCAAGCCAAGATGGATGACTGCAAGGCGAGAATGGCTGCTAAAAAGCATAATGCCTCCCAAGGAATTGAGCGAGCTAAGTCTTTGGTCGAGTAGTACAAGAAGTTGGAAGTTGATGATGATGTTGTGGCTGAATTGAACATCACTTCTTCTCGATAGAACGAAGACTGGGGGAAGCTTAGGGAAAGAATTCGCTCGGTATGGGGCGAATTGTAATTAGGACGTATATTACCTTAACTTTTCTTTTTGTAATTTCGCATTTGACTTTCCCTTTGTAACCTTGTACTGATATAACAGGAGCCATCATTGTCAATGAATAATTATTTTAGATTTTTGTGCATTTATTGACGTTCATCTTTTAATCGTCAATCGTTCAGGCATTTAACTGCTTTACATTTTCTTTTGATATTTCTGCCCGATTTTGGGCCATTTAACCCCATTTACTAGACACGAATATGGCTGCTCATATTCCTTCTTTTCACCTTCACCCCTTATAAATGCACATCACATTCTGTCTTTTCACCTTCACCCCCTATAAATGTATGTTACACTTCATACTCTCCATCTTCATTTCCATTTTCTTCTTCAAAAAACCAATTTGCTACCATTGCTTGGCATTTTTGATGATCGATCAAAAGATTTCATTCTCCATGGAAATGGATCATCTGATCTGCCCACTTAGCCATCTTTCTTGATGCCACTTTTGGTATGGGAGATATAGGAAATATTCTTTGGTTGGCTGCGAAGTTCTTTCCATCGTCTCCGTTCCTACAAGGAGTTCAATGATAGAAGGCAATTTTTGGGGTGCTTGCAAGCCACCTTGCCTGCTGAGAGTGCTTATCAGCCTCCTTACGTGTCGTTGCAGCGATGCATTTAGGAAGGCGATGTGAAGGCACTTCATCTTCCTTTCTGCTTGCCAAGAGTGCTTCTCAGCCTCTCTGCTTGCCTTTGCAGCAATGCGATCAGGACGGTGATCAACGCCAGTACACCCTCTTACTCGACGATTGACCGGGAGATTAGTTTGCTCTCAATCGTAGTTTATAGAGCATTTAGCAACTTGTATTTCGCATTTTTGTAATGAAATTTTGATAATAAAGGAATTTATTTGAACGTATTTCGCTCTGGCCCTTTTTATTCTATGATTGTTCAATGCGATTTGGTTACACTTTTATTTGTTCACCTTCCCATAAGAAAGGAACATACTTTTTCAAATATTTGCCATTAATGAACCTCATGTGTTTGGTGCCATCTAAATCTTCCAAATGATAGGCCCCATTAGGCAATACATTATTCACTTTATATGGTCCTTCCCAATTGGGCGACCATTTACCATATTTTGGATCTTTGCTATCCAAAGGGAGTACTGTCTTCCAAACCAGTTCGCTTAGGCTGAACGACTTGGCTATAACTTTTTTATTATAAAATTTAGTCATTCTTCATTTTTGAACTTGCAATCTATCTAGGACGTCTAACTTTAATTCGTTCAACTCTAATAAGTTTTGAACTAGTGATTCGGTATACTCATCACCACTTAATTTATGTTGCAAACACACTATGATCGATTACACGTTAATTTTCATTGGCAAAACGGCCTCCTGTCCATAAGTTGGAAAGGAGTAATTTTGGTACTTGACCGAGGCGATGTCCTATAAGCCCATAAAGCTTTGTTCAAACATTCGTGCCAATTTCTAATATTTTCATCTATCATTTTTCTTATGATATTTTTTAGAATCTTATTAAAAGATTCTGCTTGCCTGTTGGATTGAGCGTAATATGGTGTGGAGTTTACTAATTTAACTCCAAATTCGCTCAAGAATTTATTCACTTGATCCCCATTTAAAAATGTCCCGTGATCTACCATCAAAGTTTGTGGAATTCCAAATCTATAAATGATGTGATCACAGATAAATTCTATGACATTCTTCTGGGTGATCTCCTTTAAAGGTACCGTCTCTACCCACTTAGTGAAATAATCAGTTGCAACTATAACAAAAGTATGTTGCTTGGACGATGGGGGATAAATCTTCTCTATCAGGTCTATCGCCCAACCATTGAACGGTCAAGGTTTAATAATAAGTACCATCTCTCATGCTGGCGCCCTTTGTACTGGACCATGCTTTTGGCATGCTAAACAACTATTTGCATATTGAACGCATAATTCTCCCATCTTTGGCCAAAAATATCCACTCCTAATAATTAACCATCGCATCCTTTGGCCAGCTTGATGAGCTCCACATATCCCTTCGTGCACTTCAGTCATGATCGTCCTAACTTCTTGCAAACTTACACATTTTAGCAGTACACCATTAGAACGTTTCTTGAACAACTCTTCATCTATCAATGCATAGTTTAGCAAGCGCAACTTCATTTTTCTACTATCTCTTTTATTAGGTTCTTTAAGGATCCCCTTAATCTCTGCCCTCCAATCCATTGCGTCTCCATCGTGTATGTAATGAAGTTCAATCTTTCTCGCCCTTCTTTGGATCACGGGCAATATTGTTCCATATTCACAAGTAGACTTCCAATTTAAAACCTTCGAGTATCCTGAGGCCATCTGGGCCAATTCATTTGCTACGTCATTGTATATCCTATTAACGCACTGAAGTTCTACTTGATCGAATTCTTCTAACAACTCTTGGGCAATTTCATATTGACTCGTGATGGAATCACTTTGGCATTTAAAATCACCAATCAGTTGATGAATTACCAATTGAGAATCGCCTCTAATGTTTACATTTTTTACCCCCATATCTATCATTAGTTCCAGGCCCACGATAAGGCTTCATATTTGGCCTGATTGTTGGTGCACATCCTATCCAAAGTGAATGCGAATTTGTAGCAAATCCCTAAAAGATTTATCAATGTTACTCCTACTCCTGTACCTTTAGAGGTTTTTGACCCATCGAAATACAACTCCCAAGGTTTTAGCTCGAACGAATTTATCAATTTTTTCAGGCATGTCAAGGCATGGATGATCGGCTAAAAAGTTAGCCAAAGCCTGATTTTTGACTGCCTTTTGAGGTATGTATTGTATTTCAAATTCTGATAAAGCTAATGTCCAAAGGCCTACCCTTTGGTGTAAAATAGGGTGAGGGAACATATACTTAATCAAATTTACTCTAGAAATTAAATAAACGGTTACGGACCGTAAATAAACCCTTAATTTTGTACATGTGAAACACAATGTAAGACATAGTTTTTCGATAACAGAGTGATTACATTCACATTTTCTTAACGTCTACTCAAGTAGTAAATTGCCCTCTCTTCACCAAATTGGTCTTCTTGCGCAACCATTCCATCTATTGATTCTTTTTCAGCCAATACATACACTTTCATTGGCCGTCCTTGGATTGGTGACACCAACACTGGTGGACTTGACAAATATGTATTCAAGCTTTCAAAAGCCTTTTGATGTTCTTCTTTTCAGACAAATTCGTCCTGATTTTTCAGCTTTAAAAGTGTTTAAAAGACTTTAGTTCGCCCTGCACAGTTAGAAATAAAATGTCTTAAAAAGTTTACTTGGCCAAGAAATCTTTACAATTATTTTTTGTTGGTAGGTGGTTTGGCCTCTAGAATGGCGTTCGCTTTATTTTTATCAAGTTCAATTCCTCTTTTGTGTACCAAGAAACCAAGAAAGTTTCCTATATTGACACCAAATGCACATTTCAAGGGATTCAACTTTAGCTTATATTGTTTCATTCGCTCAAATGAACATCTTCACTGTTCGAAATGATCCTCTTCTTTAATGAATTTGACCACTATATCATCTACATATATTTCAACAAACTTGCCAATCATATCATGAAAAATTAAATTCATTGCCCTTTGATAAGTTGCTCCTGCATTTTTCAGGCCGAAAGACATGACTACCCATTCAAAATATCCTAGAGACCCAGGGCATCTAAAGGCAGTTTTGTGTATGTCTTCCTCAACTATATAAATTTGATTGTATCCTGAATAGCCATCCATGAAAGAATACATGACGTGTCCGGCAATTGAGTCTACTAAAGAATCTATCGTGGGCATTGGATACATCTTTGGGTGTGGCTATGTTCAAATTTCTAAAGTCTATGCACACCCTTAGTTCACCATTCTTTTTTAGTACTGGTACGATATTGGACAACCATTCGACATACCTGGCTGTTCTAATAAAGCCTATTTTTAAAAATCACTCTATCTCTTTCTTAATCTCAGGGAGTACATTAAGAGTAAAATGTCTGGGAGGTTGCCTATGAGGTTTAAAATTAGGCTTAGTTGGTAATCTATGTTCCACCAAATCTCTATCTAAACCAGACATTTGTTCATATTCCCAAGCAAAACAATCTTTATACTCCTTTAATAAAGCGACTAGTTTATCACTAACCTCTTGATCGAGCATCTGGCTGATGAATGTTGGATGATCTTCTCCTTCATTGCCAATATTTACTTTAATCAGAGGGTCTTGTACTTGAGCGTATCCAGGCTTGATGATCCGCATTACTTCATCGTCCAGCTCCTTTGTAAGCACTTCTTCTTCTAAACAATCCACCTTGTTGACTTCTCGGCCAATACTTTGTTCCAATTCGAATACTGCTAATTTGTCTTTCAGCACTTTCAGGGCTGCCTCTTCTTTCGCCTTGTCATTGCATTCTTTATTGAAAGCCATTAATTTGGCTTTGAAGGCCTGAATATCGGCCGTTTGCTCTTATTGCTTAGAACTCATTTAAGACTCCTTAATTATTCTTTTGCCAATTACTGGCTCTTCTAGGGCCACTATATTTGGCCTCATCTGTTTGAACATTTCAGTGAGTGCGTCCACTGAAAATGGCTCTTCGCTTTGCACGACA